CGTAAACAGCACTGCCTCCTGCCGCTGCATCAAGTTTTGCGGCGTGCAGGCATTTCATTCTCGACTCTGCGCCAGGGAGTGCGGCTCCATCATCACGTCTGCTTTCCACGTTCCCCTTCTTCGGCCTTTTTCATTAATGTTTCTTTTCCTGCTTTTTGTTTTTCATTAATGTTTGTTTTATGCATGGTGGCTACGCACGGCCCCGTGAAATTTTTTGGCTGCAATTTCGGTAGCTCGGGAACTTTCTGAGCGTCACCCAGGGCCGTGTTTGAGCAACGCGAATGAAGAAAGCACTCACGTCCTGATACAAGGCGTTTTTGATAATGAAATTAGAAGCGGGGAAGTTTTATGTGCGGGTGTATGAGATGCATTATTAGGGTGCCTCCTGAGTTAGCAATTTACTGGAAAAAATTTTTCACGAGCCCGCACTCGGGTACCACGCATACCCGATGTCTGGGTTTGAGCTCGTCGAGACTTACTCGTACGGGGAACATTGTCCTAAAACTACAGTCTTTTAGCCTTGCAGGTTCCGAGTTATGAGTTTACCTGAGAACTTTGGTGAACCCTTGCGTAGGTACCGCGCATGACCGAGGGCTGGGTTTGATCTCGTTGAGACTAATGTGGACGAGAAACACCCTCTTAATTTTACAGTCTTCTAACATCTCAAATCCCCGAGTTAGAGCTTGCCCGGGGAAAATTTTGGTGGGCCCGCACGCGGGTACCACGCTTACCCGGGGGCTGGATTTGAGCTCATTAGCACCTACTTGGACGGGGAACATTCCCTTAAAATTTCAGCTTTCAAGCATCTCAGAATCCCGAGTTATGAATTTACGCGGGAAAAATATTGGCGGGTCCATGCGCGGGTACCACGCTTACCCAGTGTTGGGTCTGAGCTCACTAGCACCTACTAGAACGGGGAAAATTCCCTTAAAGTTTCAGCTCTCTAGCATCTCAGAATCCCGAGTCACGAATTTGCGCGGGAAAAATTTTGGCGGGCCCGTACGCGGGCACCACGCTTGCCCGGGAGTTTGGCTTGAGCTCGTTACCACCTATATGACAGGGAACATTCCCATAAAATTTCAGCTCTCTAGCTTTTCTGGTTCGCGGGTTATGAATTTACGCGGGAAAAAATTTGGCAGACCCGTACGCGGGTACCGCAATTACCCGGAGGTTGGGTTTGGGCTCACTAGTACCTACTTATCGGGGAACATTCCTATAAAATTTCAGCTCTCTAGCTTTTCTGGTTCGCGAGTTAGCAGTTTACCCGTAAAAAACTTTTGCAGGCTCTTACGTGGGTACCACGCGGGAAAGACCGCACATTTTGGGGACAGGGGCCCGTTACGTGCATGCAGATTAAGTCCCCAAAGTTTCAGCCGGTCTCGAGATGAAAAATCGGCTCAGAGGCCCAGCGCACACACAGACACACACAGACATACACACACACACACACAACCTCTCGCCAATATGCGTTTTTCGCATTGCATTGCTGCAAAAAACGCATAAAAAGTTACTGATTTAGAAAAAGAAAAGAAAGCAAGAGAGTAGGGAGTTATTGTAATGAACCATGAAGAGGGAAGTGGATGTAACGTAAAGATTGTATAACATATTTATATCTATTTACACGACTATTACAGAACATCGACGATGCTGTGAAATCTGTGTCATCCGATAGCCGTTCTACATGTAGTTTATAACTAGAAATCGTAGCGCAAATCGGCTTGCTGACCAAGATCGATACAACTTCCTTCCAAATCAACTTCGTCTGTCAACCTGGCAACGGTGAACTAGCATCCTGCATCACCTCCGTTTTCACTGTGTTTTCAAATCTATTTCCTTATTTCATATGTTAAATTCTTACAGCATCCTATTTATCTCGTGAGGACTGTTTGCAGTGAAAACTATTTTGCCCCCGAAACGAAAGTGATCTAGTTATTCAAAATTGATATCCAGGACACCTAGTTTGCTAAAAAAAATGTCGATGCCGACTGCGAAAAAATTGAGCGGAATGAAAACGCGCAAACTTAAAAACTGTAATAAAAGGCAAGTTCAAAAAAATCTTACTGACAATTCCAAAGTTTGTTCCAGACTTTGTGATTTTATTCAAAAATTTAATACCTCACTAGTGCTTGGCGACGGTTATACAACAATGCCCTTCATTTGGCACAGTGATCCCTTGATTTCTATCTGAGTGAACCTGATCAACACCTCATCGC